TTCTAATCTCAAATACATGTCCCCGTCCTCTCCTATACGTTAGGGGTCGGTCTCGCAGAGCTCATTCGTCTGGTCCACTCTTGAAGAGCCTGATGAGTTGAGCCAAAGATAATAGCCCCGCTTCTGAGAATTCTTTGTTTGCACGGTCTTCGCCCTGGCTGCGTCCGAATGAAAAGTTCATACTCGGACTCAGATCTGGCAGATTTGCCTAATTCTCCTTTTACCCTTACTCAGACTCCACAACAGCGGATGGTAGCTGGAGCTGATTGAATTGATTCTTTTAACAGCTACCGAGTCTTCTCCTCGCTCACTGAACTCCCCCCAATCTTGAAAAACATGCTCAGTTCTATTCTCCCCCGCTCTTGGAAGGCTAGCCGGGAGTGAGTTTTTCGGGTTTGATTTGCCGAGTTCCTTAGGTTACATAGTTCGGTCCAACTCATAGCCCTCCCGATTCAAGAACCTACATCCCACACGGGGAGGGAAATGCAGAGACCGCCTAAATCACCAGACCGTCGGGTACAAACTTTTCGAAGCGAAGTGAAGGAAAAGAGAGGGTAGTCGGGAGAGGAGAGCGAAGTGAGTCAGAGAGATAGAATCAGACCGATTCCATGCATCAATGACGATAGATGCATTCGCCATAGTTTCAGCATTACGGCAAACCCGTGTCAAATCTTGAGTTCCTCGCTGCTCTATTTTTCCAAAGGCAGTGGAGGGTGGTTGGTTCCATGAGAGAATCCGCTTTCGGCACTAACAGCGATCTAACGCTGGAGCGATGGGAAGACTCTATTCTAATTCTATTCTGTCAGACGATTTCTTTATCATTGTAATTACAATCTTCGCCACCCTTCACAGAAGGACGTAAGTCGTTCCATAAAAGAGAGAGTCATTTCCTCTATGACTGAACTTCGCTTCGAAAAGTTCGTTGGGTGAAGGCTCGATATAATTGACCTTGCATCCCTTGCTGGGTTACTATAATAGGCATTCCATCTCGAAAAATAGAAAGCGAAAATACCATCCTCTACTCGATCAGTCCCGATTCGAACCAGACTCGACAAGTCCTGTTTGTAGAAGAGCATCTAATCGAACCATTGACAAAGTAACTAAACGTGCCAATGGAAGAGATCTCTTTTTTCTATCTTTTTCTGATGATATCGTCTTTGTTTATGCGATATTGCTTGGAAGTGAGAACTATAATTCTAGATTGCCCCTTGTTAGTGCTCCACCAGGGCTGGAGCATGCACCCTATCTCTGTCTTTCTTTGTTTTTATATTCTAATATGTTGTCCCAAAGCCTTCAATTTGCCTTTCCCTGTAGGAATTCCTTTTTCATTCGTTCTTCTGTTGAATGTAGTCCTCTTGAGCTGAGCTCTCTTTGAGGGCGGATTACATACAATACAAGATTTCTTTCATTTTTGCTCTAGCAGAAAGTGGGGGGTGCCTGACCTCACCAAAAAAAGGGCTTTCCCCAGATAATCTCCTTAGCCCAGGTCTGTCGAGCCTCAATTAACTGCTACTATACTATAGGGTAGCCGCTTGAACTCATAGCTGTGGTAACTGCGCCCTTCGCTCATTGACTATTCATTACCTGAATACTCAAATGAATAGCCATAGCTGCTAAGAACAACAAATGATCACCTTTCACCCCTGATATGATAGTAGTATGCCGGGCCAAAGCTTCCAGGGTCTCATCCCAAGATGAGAGGTTCTTTTTCGCTTTTATGGTATAAGTATTGATGGGAAAGTAGGATCTTCTTTCTATTGATTTTTATTGATAAATAGAAGTGGCCCACTCTGCGGGAAGTCATCTACGCTCAGCAGCGACAATTCCTGTAAAGACGAGGGCTTATAGAGTCGGAGTTGGTCGTGTCCAGTCATTAGACTGGAAGCTTGAATGTCCTAAAAAAGAAGCTAAGCCAGCCAGTGATCCATAGGCCTTTGTCCGATCGCTTTCGTTCATCAGAAGTAGTGGACAAGGAGTCAGCATCGTGCATGCAATTCCATCGATCTGGTCAATTCATTTCCGCGAGACGCTGCTCCACTCTTTTGCTTTGGCATTGCCATACGAGGAAGATCGCTCAGTTACATGTCAAAAGATATGGAATTTCCGACCAAGCAGTTCAGATTGAAATACGGGAATTTAGACCGAAAGATATCCATGTCAGTTAAAGATGTCTCTTTTTTGAGTGATAGGAACAGAGCTTCGGGCAAGCAGCTTAGCCAAGGCAGTAGCGTTGTAGTTCTTCCACGGCATGCTCATAGAAAGACTTTCTCCATGGCATAGCTCAGTCATTCAATCATGGTTGGGTCAGTCAGACAGGATTCTTCTCCTAAGCACAGATGTAGCTCCCCATGGTGTGTTTATTCTAGCTCTGATTAGTTCCTCTTTCGAGTTTCTTTTCGGATCTCCTTAATTTCTAGCTTGGCGCTAGTCCCTTGCTGTCCCAAGACTACTATATTGATTTTTTATGACTGAACTTCGCTTCGCTTCGTTTGTTTGGTCGTTCTCAGTTTGGAGACCCGATGGCATAATAATCAGGCATTGTCGAGTTTGACTTCAGCCATGGTGGACAGGAGAAGCAAAGAAGAGTGAAGGCGAAGTGCACCTGAGCTAGAAGCATTACACCACCTAGCAAGGCTTGAGGAACAAAGAATATGATAACTTTACTAACATGATGTCGGTGTGGGTCATTTATGAGGCTCGATATGGAAAGGTGGGCCGATTCTTTCTCAATTACACCTTTCCTCTCCGGGACTTCACTGCGCTTCGCTTCCTCAATTACATCGATCCTCACCTCTCCTCGTACTATGGTTTTTGACTTCACTTCCCTTCGCCCGGGTGCTCTGTCTCTTCCTTCCTCCTCTGAGGGTTAGGATCTTTGGTTCGGTCTCACCTCTTCCTCTCTTTTCCTTCACTTCGCTTCGTTCGTTGGGTCTTAGAAGTTGAGGCTTGCTTTGTTAGTTGAAAAATCGTATTCTAGTTACAGTCAACATAAATAAATAACGTGAGCAGCGCTTCGCTCCTTATATAGGCTATACCCCGTGCTGAATGAAAAAGTTTCCCCGGGCAGTCGAAAGAATAAAATCGCTATTTGTCGAACAAGTCCCCTAAGTCTCAGTTGAATTATTATTAGAAAGACAAAAAGAATCTATCTATCTATTTTGTTTGATTTGAGGTTCATTTCGGGTAATGGCATAATCAGAAGCCAAACCCCAAACAGTGACGCGCTTGGGTAGCTGTTTCGGGTACAGAGGCGACGAGAATGGCCTAAGCATTGTTATTCTAATTGGAAAGCGGCGGTGTATGGAGCGCGGACGATAGCCGTCAATTCGTTATCGACCTGGGAGTCGGAGGTGAGTTAGAAGTCAGAAGGTGAACCTGGGACTTTCTTGCCAGTTCTCTGGTAAGCATACCTACAAACAAGGTCTCACGATGAGCCTTCCGCATTAAGCTCACTCACAATCAATCTACGGATCAAAAATAGCTTACTTACGAAGGCGAAGGGAACGAGTGGAGTATACGAAAGGTGGTGGGTGAAAAAAGGTAAGTAGGCGAGCGAAGTGACGGATCTCGACTAAAATACGAGGCCGTTAAGGAAGAAGTTCAGATGCGAGACTAAAATAAAAGGAGAGGGGAGAAGGAGCACATAGAGGACGGTTATAATTTCTGAGGGATCGCTTTCAGCTGGATCGAGCTCTCATGCTGATCGGAGGAATGCCAATCTCTCTTTGTTGCAAATCTATTTGAAGTAACGGATTCAACTGCCCGCCTTAGACAGAGACGAAGCCTAGCGCTTCGCGCCTTTAGGCACTATTTAGGAAAGAGGACTACAATATTTTGTGTTATATTCCTATATTCTCTTATCTCTATCTTTCTATTTTTTCTACGTAAACATATCTTATTTTGTACCTAAAACCGCTGATGTCTTTACTTTCATAATGGGAATGGGAACTGCAGGGTCTATTCATTTTGTTGGCACCTTCATCTAATTAGACTTCGTTCCCCGGAAGACCAAGAGAAGGCTACGAAAGATAAGATAGAGAGGGCTTCCAAACCCATTCCCTTACTAAAGGACCAAGAGCTAGCCATCCCCAAAACTGACTACCTCATATGCCGATGCGACAGTAAAACATCAGACGTCTTACCCCAAGTCACAGAGTCTACAATTCCAGCTTGTAATGGAACTTGAACTGATCATCACAGCCTCAAGTTTCTCATACGGTAGAAGGTGTGCAATGCTCGTAAAGTTCCATTCTCCATTGGAGATCACCATATTCACAGTCATGTCTGCCATATGAGCAGGAAGATCTCCAATAACATGTTCAGCCAGAGGTTTAGACCCAACCCACCAGTCCTTCCATAGCTTGATGTTACTACCATCACCGAGCCGATGACGGAGACCTTTCTGTAGGCAACCCCTTGTTTTCACTATGCCTCTCCAGGCCCTGAATTTTGAACCTGAACATTAAGAAAGTCTCCACCATGACTAAGATACTTAGCCCTCATAATCTGACACCACAAAGCATCACTTCTTGAATGAATTTTCCAACCGAAAGCATAGCTAAGTTAGCATCTCGAGCCTTCCGAAGACCCAACCCACCAAGGGATTTAGGTCTACACACCTTGTTCCAACTTACTAGATGATTTCGGGTGCCCCCAAAATTTGAATTAATTTGGGCCAAACGAGAGCATTCTATCTGATAAGCACGCTGGCAGAAGGGCTGATTGCATGGTGTACAAAGGCAAAGCTGTGGTTGTCGACTGGATTAAAGTACGCCTGCCGGCAGGCCCAAGAACCTTCCCCTTCCAAGCAGATAAAAGAGTACTTTATCAACCAAGTTGAAGTACTGCCTTTGATTCTTTGAAGAAGGTTTGGAACCCAACAAACGAAGCGAAGCGCAGTTCAGTCAAATCGTAGCTCTTCCATCTTACGTCAGCCTTTCCTCCTCCCCAGCGGCATCGCCAGAAGATCGTATATTGCCTCTTCGATTTGTCCGGGAGTTCGTGACAATCTCGGTCATATCTCGTTTAACACTCGTTGGATTCCGGGACAAACTTCTTCCGTTCGGTTCTGGTTAGACAACTGGCTTGGTTACACTCTTGCTGATCGTCTGGGCATCCCCGTTGGTTGGCAGGATACATTTACGGACACTATTGGGGATTATTATTATGAGGACACTTGGCACTTCACTGAGGACTTCATTACCCGGCATACTGACATCGTCATTGATATCCTCTCTTACCCTATGTCTCAGGATACAAGGGACCTTTGCATTTGGACGGGCGTCCCCTCCGGGAAGCTTACGGCCAAGACTGCCTACTCTTACTGCCGTCACCGATTCCCGAGTGTTAGATGGGGACGCTGGATTTGGTCTGGTCACATGGAAGTCCGTAGATCCCTTCTGACCTGGAGGGTGGTTAACAACCTATGGCCCTTTCTTCCCGTCTTCGTCGCTTTGGCTGCTTTTGTGGTCCTTCGGCCTGCTATTTTTGTAGATCCACGGAGGAAGACATCGACCACCTCCTCAATTACACCTTTCCTTCACTTCGCTTCGAAAAGTTTGTAGGGGATAGATATATTTATAAGGTCCATGGGGATCCATCCTCCAATGTGCAAAGGGCCACGAGTTGAGTTCCATATTCAAGGCAGACAACTACAATCGATAGAGTTGAGCTACCGTTCTGGTTCCCAATTACCTAGCCAGTCCGGAATCTTCTTTATTTAACTGCAAGACTTGCCACTCTTATTAATGGATACAAGACTTACGGGTAAGCGAAACACTCCATATTATATAATATCGGTATACTCGTACAAACAAAAAAGAAAGATGTCAGGTGTCGATGAATACTTATTTTATCTCCTATGCGCACGGAACATGAAAAGAATCTGCTTTTAGGTGCCTATCCCGAAGGAGGTCAATTACATCGAGCCTAGGAACGGGGTGATTATCACCTCGCCAGAGAATAAGGGAGGTAGCACACTGCTTCAAATAAAGCGCAGTGAACAACCAACCTACCGCTACGTGGGGATCTAATCCGTTTTACCAGTCCCGCTGAACCAGAAGAGTATAGACGGATTATGACGAGGGCGTTAAGCTTGCCGATAGGCGAATAAGATTTAGCTCAGCTCCAAAGCATTTCATAAATGTGAATAGGAAGATCTGTTGAGTTTCTTACGAGTCTTCCATCATTTCATAGTTAGTCGATGAGGACGAAGGAGGTGATAAGCGAACGTAAGCCTAAGGCTTTGAGCTTGACTGGGTATACTGAGTATAGGGCTGGCTTACCAGCTCGACCGTAGCCACTACTGCTTCGCTAGCCAATGCTAGAGATGGAGAATATGCGTGATGAAGGTGAAAGTGGCTTCTTAATTAGACTGGACAGATGAGTGAGTGAGACTCCTTCGCTTTAGGCTCTTCTCTGGGTCTGCTTGACCTAGCAAGATAGAGAATATGCCGAATCACTCAATTTCGTCAATGATGATGGCAAAGATAGGAACTGAGATTCATCCATAGTAGGCTTGGAACCCTGTGATTGAGGGCATTCCCTTGGACTTCATCTCTCTCTTTCATTTCCCTCTAACGGAACGGCGTTAAGGTCAAGTCCAGCTCTTTCGCCAAGAAATGCAACGTTTTCTTTCCACTTCCAATTTTATAATAGTCATTCATCTGATGACAATACGACTAGTCGCTGACCTTCTTTCTTGATTAGGGTCACTTCCTAGGGAAGCTCTGTCGCCGATCGAGCACGCTGCTGAACTTCAGGAGTCATCTTTTCCGTTGAGGCTCAGTCTTGACCACGTCACCTCTTTCCTTTTCGCCAAGTCAGTGACTGAACGAAGAAGTAAGGGTGCCCCATGAAAGTAGACCCCTCATCGCCGCTTAATCTCCTGGGATTGGGGAGGATGCCATTTATAGATCTGCTAACTTGAGGCCTAGCCTAGCTTTTCACGAGAGACAAGACGCTTCCTGCTCGCCCTACTTACTCTCACTCTTGCCCTTCCCTCCTGGTGAAAAAGGAAGCCCACTCAGACACAATGCTTAGAGCTGGCGGCTCGTGTTAAAGAGGGGGTCTTACGGGTGGGTTTAGCCGGTTCCGAAGTGGAGGAAAGACAAGGATAAGAAGTAGCTCGCCCATCGGGAGCAACTGAAAGGATAGGGTCAGCAGGGTGACGGCTAAAGACGCAATCCGGGTTGAATTAGAGACAGGTCCAGGCGGTCTGGCAGCGAAGTCTGCTGAGTCGAAGCTTCGCAACGGAACTTCAATGCAACAGTTGGAATTGGCGCAGAAGTGCTTTGCTTTAAAACAGCTTTTCCTGTACGAAGACCTATGACGTCTGATTCTCGCGGCTTAAATGTATCAGGTGAAGCCTTCGCTACAATTTCCTTCGTGACTTGACTGACCTATTCTACGCACCTTCTTTCTTCTGCCGCTACGCACCTCGCCTTACGCTTGTTCCCTGCGAAATATCTTCTTTTAAGTAATTCCCAGTAAAGGAACCTTCTGAGCCTATCGTCTCACCTCATAAAGACTCCTACGAATCCGCCTGAGCTTTAGGGCCTTGTATGACTTTCTTGATTCCTAGGAGTCGAATGTTCTTATTGCAGGATAAACTTGTTGGGGTTCTCTTAAGCATGATGAGAGAACGGGAGTAGGATTTTAACGGTGGCAAAGCTGCTAGTCAAATTTGCCGTGAAGTCTAGAGATGGTTGTTTTAATATGTTACTGTCACATGGATAGAAAGGGAATCGAACCCTTAGCATACTCTTCATTCATAACAGAGACTATGCTTGCCCCCCAATCGGCCTACCCACGATAGAAGATGAATCTATCCCCCCTGAAGTTTTTGTTGCTTGAGCGCGTCATTTACGCCTTTGCCCACAGCCAATTGGATTCCAAGTTGGGTTGTTGGTTCTCAAGCCCCTGTAGCTCATGAGTTTGTGTAACGTAACAGGGAGATATCATTAAAAAATCTAGATCAATTATCTTATATAAGGATTCTCTATTAAAATTCTTTTATTGTGTTCTTTCTTTATATACTCGGTATGTGGGGGCATTCCAGAGGGCTTGCTTCTCCCCCTTATCAAACTCCGGACTTTGGCTCCCTACGTATGAATAGAATAAATGGAATCAATGAATCGAAACGAATAATGAACTTAACCAACTACAATTAATCGTATGGAAGTAAAGGCATCTCGATGATCAAGACCGGTACTACATAGGGAAAGAATCCAATTAGATGAGTTAACATCTCATTCCATCATTCATGTATAATAGTGGCGAACAAGCGGCATTCAAACTCTACCATCTGAGCTACATCCCCTTTCTCCTCGGTCCAGGTCAACGGGGGCAGTTCAATTTAAAGATAGGTGACGGCTCTCATCTATTCTATGCCTTTCTAGAAAGATAGGAATGTATGACCGATACACTCGAGTAGATGCCTGATACAAGCCGATATAGCTAATGATCAATCTCTAACAATCCAGACGCAATCTAGACTAAAACAAAAACCTTCGTTGCATAATAATCAGACATGTCCTAACCTGCTGGTATTGATTCAGTTGTTCCTGCCGCTTCGATTTGTTAGTTGTGTCTGTAGACGCTTTTTCGCATTTCGAGAACGCCTTTTCGCCTCTCGTAGTTTCAAGGAGGTTCAAGCGCTCTTAGTTCAGTTCGGTAGAACGTGGGTCTCCAAAACCCGACATCTTAAATGGTTAGGATGAAGAGTTCATTTGAGTATCGAATGGTGAAGAGGAAGAATGAATATGAAATGGTTATTGAGTATCAGTGAAACCAAGGAGCCATTCCCCACATGATCCGCGCACGAGACCTTAGGCACCGGAAACAGGAGAATGGAATGAGTGCTAGCGATCCATCCCCTACTTCAAGAACCGAAGAAGATGTAAGCAAAGGGACGAAGAGGACGTTCTATACTTCGCCGAAGGGGGGCGATAGGGGACGTAAGGCTCAGGGTATGGGAATCCGATAGTTCTACCAGCCTGGGAAGAGGAGTCAGAGGCGTGGTAGTTTATTTATTCAACAATCATTCCCATTCGTTAGCTTTCTAAAGGAGATTCCCCCGGAGCGGAAGAAGCAAGGCTGGGGACTTCAAATCCTTTATCCCAGTTCCTCTCCTTTCGCGTCGAGACTATGTTATAACCTTTCCTTCGCTTCGTTCGTTGGGTGTCGCTTGATCAATCTTTTCTTCTTGAGCTGGCAAAATAAATAGAAGAACCAAGCGCGGGCGTAGAGGAAGTTGCTATTTTGAGATTTTCTTTCCTTTCTTTCAGGCGAAAAGAGCTTCAATTGTGCTATTCCCTTAGTTATAGTTAGCGAGCCACCAGCGGCAAGCGTTAAGCCGGAACCACCCAACCCCATTCTTATGTTTTTTTTGGCCCCCCTACCTAATTCATTAAAGGAGTTGGTTTCCGAGAACTTGAAATGCGGAGAATGTTCAAGTTTGGCCCTTCTGGTTGTCATTTCATCCTTGAGAATTGTATATGAACATGGCTATCCTCCTTTTTTATGACTGAACTTCGCTTCGCTTCGCTTTGTTTGTAGGGACATAGTCATATTCAACTTGCCAAGACTTACTGATTTGAAGAAGTGACTACTTACCCGGGTGCCTATGGGTGAAGTATCCCACCAGACAGTAGCCCCATGACTGGGCCGTCTATGTCCTCATCCTCTAACATCACCTCATCTCCTGCTGGGGAGATGTAATTGACCTTGAGAAGAGAACAAGTCGGTGACTACATATGGTTTAATCCGCTTTCTTCATCTCCGATCATAGGCATTCTTCCCCATTCCGCTGTTAGTAAGGCGAAGGGGCGTAAGGCTTAGAGGTAGTTCCAAATCGTTTTAAAAAGTAAGCTTTCTCCGCTATAAACAATCAAATCAAGTCAATCAAGAAAATCCAATCAAGACAATGAGGCTTTGTTGGTGTCTCGATCAATGCACTTGCCGTGGAGGCTATGCTTTGACAATGAATTCTTCATCCACTCTTCGAGGCTTGACGGCTCTGCTCGTTAATGATTGATTGGCTCGGTGGAACTAGCGGTTGGTCCCGTCTGTCGATCGACAAGATCGCTTTCTTAATCGATAGAGTTTGAATATGGCGGTTCGGCATCCTGCCAGTGTTGGGCGTTTCATGGCTGCCATACAAATGAATTCCACGAGCTTTGATGACTCAAGTTCACCATGCTTCTTGACGACAAGGACGCCCTACGCCATCATGTGCAGATTCGATCTGAGCGCCTATCAAGCTCAACCTTCCTTCCTGGACAAAACCTTTCCAAGCAACCCCTGGAGTGCCATCAACAACCATGCAACAAAGCATGATGGTACAGAACTAGATAGGCTTGGTGGGAACATATGCTATGTTCAGAGGCTTAGTCCACCTAAACTACTTCTCAATTACATCGACCCAACGAACTTTTCGAAGCGAAGTGAAGGAAAGGAATCACTATCAACTCAATTACACCTTCTTCCTGGAATGGGAGGTTTCCCTCAACGGGAAGAGTGATATATAGTCTCACCTAAATCCTTAAGTGTAGCTGTCCTCCACTTACTTCCCCCTGACCCTACTTCTACTTAAGTTCGATTCTGCCGGGGTTACTAGTCGTACTCCCTTCTTACTATTGATTTGATCTGATCCTTCCCTTCTTCAAGGAAAATGACAGAAAGAACTTCTTTTTTAGTTGCCTCCCTCCGTCCCCCCTTCTTATGTGGGATTGGTTCCCCGCTTGTTGAATAGAATCCGATTCTTCTTCTGATTAGGAGACACGGTACTAGAAAGTTATACCTCTTCCCTTTCTTACCCTTTCTCGTGTAATTAATTTGGTAGGAGAAAACGGTAAGCCATGCTGCTGGCTCGAAGACCTCCTGTCTTTCTTTCTTCAATAGGTACTGAAATAAATAGAGTTACTTACTTGAACGCTAAGATTTTGGTTAGGGATATGTATTATACTACAGTATGAGATCGGACCTGGAATGGGAGGTTTCCCTCGGCTCGGGAGGTGGATGCAACAAACATATATGACGAGGCAAGGTGCAAGGGAGCAGCAGAGCCCTCTGTCTTGAGATCCGAAAGAAATGGGTACGGCTTTCATAAGCGCTGATCAATAGGTACTTTATTTAAGTATGAAGCCCAGACCAACTGAAATTCCCGATCACCTCGCATATTGATGTAAAGTCAATAGCCAAACCCCTCGTCTTCGCATAGAATTACATTGAGCCTGGCACATAATTGACTCTTGAAGCAAGAACCTGGCAGCCAGCCATTCCTGAACTTTTGGTAATCAACCAAGAAACCTTGCCTTGAAAGTAGGCTCGACGTAATTGACCTCTACCTAGCCACCACTCAATTGAATGTGACTGGTAGCGCTCCCACATAGCCTTACGTCATTGCACTGTAGCCGACGTGGAATGTGAGAGACGAGAAAGAACCTTGTACTCGGAACCACCAATCCGGTTGAAAACCTCACCATATTTCAGGTGAATGGCAAATAAGCCATTAAGAATGATAGTAGTTCTGGAGACACCGCAATGAAAGAGGAGAAAAATCCCTCTCACCACAGGATACAAGGAACTTCTTGGCAAACTCGACAACAGCCTGTGTCAGAGATCAGGGATTCCGGAATCCGCGATTGAGAGCAAGAGCAAGCAATCAATAGCCCTGCCCTTAGATGGAGAAAGAAATGCTAGTCTAACTATCTCTTACGTAAATAGATCAGTTCCCACCAGACGTTTACCGACCTGATATGATAGACATATTCCCAAGGCGCTACTGGGCGCAGGCTTCGCTTCCTCTCATTCATAGGTTTGGCTATCAAGAACAGAGATAACGTACGATGGAATAACACATGTTGCATGATTCCGTTTTTTACCTGTTTGCACGGGGAAGACCAATCAAATATCAATAGACGGGCCTAGCTACTACTCACTTAGCAGAGTCAAGCCTACATTATATTATAAGGGCCTCGCCACTTGGTAGTTGAGTCCTTTTGTGCTCTCGCAACTTATTAACTTATTTTTAGTAATTGACTACTTTCACCTCGATAGAGAAGTTAAGGCTCCCGGGATTCATAGCTTCGATAGCTGCTAGCCGCTCTTCAGGTCAGAGCAAGGACTACGATAGCTACTCTCATGACCGGGATAGGTAGAAGAGAACCTTGCGCCTTCCGTTCTTGATCTGACTTATCCACTATCCCCTCCTTAGATGAAAAGAGAAAGCCAGGATTATCATTCGCTTTGGCAGTTCCAATTGGCGTATGCTGGTTATTATTCTGTTTCGAAACCTCTGCTTCCAGTGCTTGCTTCGTGCGTACGATTTTTTTATTCAATAAGGATTTTAGCAGCTTCAGGTGAGGTAATGCTAATTCTTTATTTCAACTCGAAATTGCCCACGTTCACGCGAAAAGCAGAAGACAAAGAAGACTTTCGCTAAAGACGAGCATCCCGAGATCAGAATCAGAAGGAAAGGCCCGACAGAAGAGGGAGATTTTAACGACTTAGTTATTTGAGCGACAGAAGCTTCTATGACTTCACTGCGCTTCGAAAGTTGGGGTTTCGAACCCCAATAAGGACCAACACTCGAAAGTACGTAACCTAAGATAATACTGAAAAAGTAGCTCCTCAAATTCTCTCTTGCGAATGAGTTCATTTCTATGACTGAACTTCGCTTCTAAAGATTACATTGACCTGGCACTTTTGAAGCTTGTTTCCGCCTCCCCCTTTGTTCGTAACGTTGGGATTCAATAATCACATTCATGAAGGTGATCATCAAATTGATTATCATTTGCGCTTGAAAATCAAAGAAAAAAAGGGAGTAGGGACGATTGCTTTTCAAAGTCAGATACGACCGGAAGTCTACTCTTATCAGTGAGTACCGGTTTGATACATCCCCCCCCTTTTTTTTTTCTATTTTTGGTAGCTATAGTCACAGGCTATACAATGCTTCACTTCTTAATCGCCCGGACGTCTGGACATGGGAGACTGATATAACTAGGATGGGGTACCCGTGCAATGGCAATGCTTTGGTCTGAAGGTCTCTCACTCGAAGAATCGAAAGGTATACGAAAAAATGGTGGGGCAGATAGATCAAGCTTTCTATGGGGCACTCATATCCTCTAAAAGAGATGTTGATGACTCCGAAATGGACGACCGGATCGGCAGCGGCCGTGGGCTGGCAACATGGCCGGTTTAGAGAGGATCGTCAGTTTCACGAGCGATGTGCGCTCACGTGAAGCAAGGCAAGATTGCATGCTGCTTTTCACGCGCGAGAACAGAGATCAAAACGTTGACGAAGCAAGGAGTTCACCGTTGAGAGCCGCGGGGCTGGTAGACCAGTAACCGTTTAGCTGAGATCCATTCTACTCTACCGCGCTAGGAGCGGTATGCAATAGTATAGAATTCTTAGACTTATTCCACTTTCTAGAAAGCGGTTTAAGGATTGAAGTGTTGAACGATTCCCGTGCAATAGAAGGTCTCAGTCCATTGGGACCTAGAGGAGGTCTAGACAAGAGTTTGCGTTTCCTCCCCTCGGGTTCCTTCTCTCCCTGCTCTCAGTCCGGTCAAGCAAGGCAAACCGGGCTTCTTTCGTCTACTCTCCTTCTACCTTCCTCTCCTTTCGCGTCTTCGTATCCTCGGGTTCTATCTTCGTAAAGCACCTGCCGGGCGGAGGTAAGTTCTGGTCCCAGCAATACTATTAGTAAATACGAGGTATTTCAATTTCCGAAAAAGCCGAATATAGACTATCTTCCGAAGCAGATAGAGATGAAGGGGTTTGGTTCGAACTTTGAATGGAAATCAGACAACTATCTTATTATTCCGGGACCCGCGGCAGGCGCATAGACAGTCACAGTTCTAAATCACCTTTCTTCTCAACTTCGTTGACCCTTGATGGACTTTCCGAATCAGTACCAAAGTACCGAGGCAAAGCATCTCGAAGTCTTCTTTCTCCTGACGCAGTCGCATAAGATCTGCAAACCCGCATCTGGTCTTTCATCAAATTATTCTTCGTTCGACGTCTTCTTCTCGAACTCTATTCGTTTTCCTTTCTTAGGTCTCAAAAGCTGTCTTCATCTCAAGAGCCAGAAAATCTCATATGACTGAACTTCTAAAGATTACATTGACCTTTTCCCCGTTGAATATTCTACCCTTCTGCTAAAGCTGTTGCTCTTCATTGGCCTGTTCCTTATCTTGAAGAGAACAATCGGTGGCTCGACCCCCTCCCCCTCAATGTCCGGGATTCCTGTGCATGCTCCCGAGGCAGGAGGGGCAATCCATAGGTCTGGCTCGATGTAATTGACCTCTAAGGGTGCATTGGTTAGCCCTTTATCCCCAAGAAATTAACCATAATAGCCAGCCGAAGGGCGCGATGGACACTGCTGAAATCGATAAGATTGAGCCACCCGGTATGCGAAACGCCATAAAGCAAACGAGTTCTCTCCCACCGTCCGTATTCTCTCAAAAAGCCGAAAATAGATGGTTGAGCTGCGAGGGGCAAAGATGGCTCGCTCGCACTGAAGTCCGGACCCTACCATTCACATTCAAGCTTCCAATACTTTTGGCAGAAGGAAAAGAGCCTCAGTGATGAAGAGATTGCAAGCTTAATTAGAATCGAAGCCAGCCTGACAAAGACGAACCCAGCAGGTTTGAAGATACTCGACCATACTTTAGAAGCAAAGCGAAGTTCAGTCATAGAATCCTCATTCGCCCGACATCCTTTTCTTAAGAATAAAAGATCGGAGTTCTTCTCTACCAACTCCTTTCACAGCTGGTAATTCCATATCATTCTTTATTGGCCTATTCGTCCCTGGCTTTTCTTCCTTCTTCCTTTGTTACTGACTTTGTTACAGATGTAGTACCTCTTCTCAATTACATGGATCCTAGGCCTATGGGTTCGTCAGTAGAGAGAATTCCTATTGACCGGGCTTACTATCCTGCTGATAAAGTAGCTCAGTCATTCATTAGCTCACAACTCAGAACTCGTTAGCTACCCTGGTCCAAGCTACAGGTAAGATCCAGCCACAAGCCTAGCTCAATAGCTGCTAGTAGCTCATCAACTAAGGAAGTCCGGAAGTCACTCATTAACTCCAACTTCAAAGGTAGGTGCTGAAGCTGCCCTATGAGTTAGCTGCTCTCGAGCTCCTGCCTTCATTCCGACCCGTTAGCTTAGAAGGAACTCCTTCTAGGGACCTGGCTTTCTATTCGCTTAGGAGGTTGACTCAGATACCGGACTAAATACGTGTTGGCTTCCTTAGCTACCCTTCCTTAGGAGCTTTCCTTACTCATCTATCTCTTTCTCTTACTGCTAGTCCGGACCTGGCCTATTAGAGCACTGCCTATCCGGTCCTGCTCATTAGCTTCTTAACTCCAACTCGAACAAGGAAGCTCATCAAAGACAGATAACTCACAACTCATAACAAGAGGTCTCAACGAGCCACTTCCTGAAGAAGAGAAGTAACTGAGCTATAAAAAAGAAAGAATTAGAAAAGGAGAGCAAAGTGATCCAACTTTAGAAGCGAAGCGAAGTTCAGTCATAGAATAGTAGTACGAGGAAAGGTGAAATTGAGGAAGCAGCAATGATCGGGTCAAGGATCGAAAGCCGGGGACGGTAGATAGACGTCTAGTCTTGGATCCGAACGACAGACAAGGGAAAGTAGTCAAGACAGAGAACATAAATATTTTTCCCCTATACACTGTAAAATGAGCAAGACCTCGGGATCAGCGGATCATGGGTTAGCACGTCAAAGATCGCTTCTCTTATCAAGTCCCTTCTATGCTATAATCAGATTGGAAATCGTTTTGAATTCCAGGCTATGGAGAAGATAACTAGATCTATACGGCTTCCTTCTTTCCCGCTTGGTACCAACTTCTTTTCTAACTCTTGATAGCCAGTCAAGTTCCAAATCATAGAGGAAGGCTCTATGTCCATGAGGTCTCGAGCCGCTTTCGGCTTAAGGGAAGGTTGACTTTTCCTTTCCGTGAAGTTTTTGTTCCAAGCCCCCCCTTCTCTTAGTCAATGGACTGATAGTTGAAGGGACGGGATCCTGTATCTTATATAAGATCTGTGTCCTTACCCTATGCATGGTATGTCTAGAATGAAAGATCTATTCTAGCCGTTCTTGCTAACCTAGGTCAATGTAACCAGGACTGAACTTCGCCAATACTGAGGAGGGATAAAAGCTAGCTAGCTCAGTGGATTCCCTTGCGAAAGATGCTAACTCGTACTCTTCTTTGAATGACCATAGGTTTAACCTGTTCACATCAGCTACGCCATCAGAGACTCGAAATCTCGTATGAGAAGAAAAGAGAACCCCGCGACTCCCATTCCTTTCTTGGCAGAGTTTGTTGACTCGGTGATCGCCGTGAAGCTCAAGACAAGTAGTGATTGATCGATGCGTAGCGCAGAAAGATGACCCTAAAATGGAAGCGGCGATGCGAACTGTACGAACGAAGCGAAGCGAAGTGAAGGAAAGGTGTAATTGAGCTTTACCGAGAACTAGGCTTTTGCTTCATCAGATGCTATAGACGAGACCACTTATGTCACTTAATTGTCTGCCTTGGAGGCACGAAATCCGCAGAATCATCTTTATTAGAGTATAATACTGATTTAGTTGAGTAGTCTCATCTAAAGTGGACGATTGAGCAAGAGAAAGAGGTTCGGCGGTGGAAGAGTTCAGGCAGAAATAGATGGTTCAAAGCCCTTTCTTTCTATTCTATTAGTTTAGTATATACGAGCAAGATGCCAACGCGCCCCTCGAAGCCAAACCTCTCGGTCAGCTTCAGCTATAGTAACTGGTCACTCGTCCCTGTCAACTAGAAAGCTAGTAAGCAAGCGATCGGCAAAAGACAATATACAAGTGGGATTAATAAATGTCAGAAGGGGGCCTCGTTTCACTCGGTTCGCTCCGTCTACATGTAACTGTGCACAGTTATTTCTATCTGGGTTGTCGACTCACTCTATGCTGCAGGTTGAATTGTTCCAGAACCGCTTCCACGGAATTTGAGGGATTTTTTTCTGCTGTATCAATGCACCAGGCCTTCTATGGATTGGTTTTCAAATCTCGCTTCAGTGATCTATCCACAAAAGAGTGAATTGACTAAGCTTAAGCTAAGACTTCGTTCGCAGTCGATTCGATAATAGGAAAAGAAAAGACAATAGCGAGTGACCCATAGCATTCGTAGATAGACCTTTGCCTTAGGAAGACTTTGACGGGATGATGAAAGAAATGAAATCAAACCCGTGAAGAGCGGTCACCAAGCGTTCGAACGAATCAAGACATACCTTGAAAATCCTCCTATTCTTGTCCCGCCAGTGCGGGGTCCTCCCTTCTCTTTTGAAAGCGGGTGGGGTAAACAACTATTCTTTTCTCCAGTCAGACAAGAGCAGGTGCTGCCAGAAGACGAGGATCCACAGGTCAAGGAAGTGAAGGATGCTATCTCCTATCTAGAGGCTAGACGGGACGCAGTCCAAGAAGAGCTTCTGGATTTGAGGAGGTATGAGGTCTACAGTCCCAGCATCTCCGGTGCCTCAGCGCAGAAGGAACGAGAGTGGTGCACTCTCAGCAAGCAGGTGGAAGTTCTCAAAGATCTTCTTGAGGAAATCCGCCCTATCAAAGAAGAGACGTCCGGAGGTCAGATCCTTGATCTACAGCAGCAGCCAGAAGAGGCCACTCAGCTAAAGGACGACCGGTGGCAACACCGAGGTGACAGAGTCCTGTATAAGGCCGATTCTAGCCCACTGGAGCACAAAGAGAAACGGCCCCGCCAACATTCAAAGAAACTCCGCCTAGACCGCTAACGAAAGGCTCGATATAATTGACCTCGGATCAGTCGTTTGAAAGCAAGCAGCAACTAAGGGAGGAATAGAGAAGCTTCAAAACTGTGTGTGTTAGACGTCTCTCCTTTAAGAGCTCCTCTAAGTCCTGCCAAGCCCGATTAGTGCCTCTTTACCGGATGTGAAACTTGGCTTTCTAGCTGGCATGTTACTAGTTCCTGCCCTAACAAGATCAGGTTCAACTGCGGGATCGGTTGTGAGTTCAAGTGAGGACAATTCCCTTAAGAAGTACCCCGCGGCTGATCTGTAACAAGGTATATGCTGCTTCTGCTCTTTCTACTTTAGGGACAGCTAACTCTCTTTCAGGTCTGATTGAAGGAAGCGGGACAGAGACAGGGAATTCAAATGGATAAGGTGGTTCAGTCACTTTCCGGGCTCTCACCTCGGCTGCCGGGCACCTTGTCTCAGTCGCAGTTTCCGACCTATCCTTGCTTGGTATCTCCCTTTCCACTTTTATTCAAACAGTGGGAAACTCCCTTCCTGTCTCGTCCCTCTCGCTTTAGCTCGAGCTACTCTCGTCCTGCTGCCTCCTTATCCTGGCCGAAAAACATCTGGTTCCCGGAAAATATCCAGATGCATGCGTGCACAGCCTGGTTGGTTGGCTATCTAAGGGCGATTAAAGACGAAGGACTTCACTTCCTTGCTAAACAGGGCCTTGCTTACGAATGAGACTGTATTCAATTTCAAATCCTATGTTGATTGCAACATCGGTTGAAACGAATCCAAGACGTAAAAAACTCGAGGAGAAATGGTCCCTTCGGACCTATTCTATCGAAAGGATCTTTCCCTATGTAATTTACGTCGGGAGACTACTCTACTCTAGAAAGGATTGATTCTTTAACCAGAACTGTACAGCACCAAAGGAAAAGAGTAAATTCGCGCATACTAGCCAAAGATCTAAAAGCATAGTTCACTATTTCTAGTTATATTATTTTGTTTTTTTTTATTTATGGAAGTGGGGTGAGCTTGATGATTGCGCTACTGGGAGATCGGAATAACGTAAATAGAGCTGGCAGGGAATAGAATGTTTTGAGGCTAATAGGGCCAAAGGTGCCTTGCGAAGAGAAAGACCACACTTGTAGGAGACTTTTTACCGATTTCAAGGAATTGAGATGATCGATATGTATGTATAGTAGTTTCTTTCCTGACTTTAGACAGTCGTTTGAAAGCCGCTAAGTGCACTAGTTTACTTCCCCTATGAGATTGACCCTGCTGGGATCACTGAATCTTCTTCCATATCTTCTCAATCCCATCGCTGAATGCCTTCGACTGAGACCTATCTGCTTCATTCCCGAGTTTCACTTCACTTGGACACTGCCAAAGAGGACCAAAGGGAAGAAGGTGGTCTACGATCAGCTGCTTTTGCTTTCAAGTCCAGTTGATCCAGTTCCACATCCAGCAAGGAAGACAAGCAAAGGCATACATCCCAAAAAACCCACAAGGTCAACCATCCATTCGATTTGGCACTTTAGAACACTTTTACTAAAAAACTCTGACACAAAGGAAAGGTTTAAAGATCTCGACCAAACAAACGAAGCGAAGCGCAGTGAAGTCCCTGGAGGGCTTGTGAGTCTCGACCAAAGGGAGAGGAGAGCGAAGTTCAGTATGGTGAAGTTCCAAATCTTGACTATAGTGGGAAGAAGACAGGTGGGAGCAAGCGGAGCGAGAGCAAAGCAAGCCCTAGTGGTGGGTTGTCTTCTCGGTCCCATTTCATCAATTATTTCCCCTTTTAGAATCTTCATGTTCTCGAAAGTGGAGTGAACTATCTTTTCGAGCCGGAAACGGGATTCCGCGTCAGTGCGATGGTTCGTTCGAGCGAGTGGATAGGCAGCGCTCAATTACGTTATTTTCGAAATTGGATCTCTTTTGATGCCTTCCTATCCTCTTCACGACAGATGGGATGTAATATACTAAGCTCTCCTCTATCTAAGGACTTTAGCAGCCTCATCCTCCTTTGGTTGAGCTTTTCCGCTCTGACCCTCTGGTATGGTCGAAAAGAGTGCTCTTGATCACAAGGCTTTTTCTGCGAATAGAAGTTCAAGGTGGAGAATTTGATATCTAATGGCAGCTTTTAGACCCCCTTTTTTCTATTATGTAGTAAACGAGTCTGACCCCTCAGCTCTTCCACCTTGCTTTCCTGATTCCGATTAGATAGTGGATGAGAGCTTCTGTGATCCCCGATTCCATTACCTCTCTAGTGGGACTTCGTCTCACTCAGAAGGGATAGATCGAATCTAAGGCGGATTTTAGTCGCCCTCAATTTGCTCTTTTGGTTGCTTCTTTAATAAGAAAGTCAGACATCAAGATCAAGCCTCCTGACGATAGCAGCCTTGCTTTCTTTGATGATTTCAGGGCAATTCAAGTATCTGTATACTCTATCGCATACGTACTGGGGCCTCTCCATTACTACTTCTGACTTCACTTCGCTTCGCTTCTAAAGTTGGGACGCCATAGGAATTGTTTTGTAGCTTCCTTACTTAGTGGTGGTAGAATAGTTTCTTGCCCTCAACTGAAAGAAGAACTCAAGGTGATTCAGTTGAATGACATCTCGTGCACATCCCCCGGGCTGGAGAGTCAGTCAACTAAGTCACCCGAGCTTTAGGAAGAGAGAACTCAAAGTCTTGAAGCCTTCTATCAAGGTCAATTACATCGATCCTAGCGGTGAAACTGAGCCTATCTTTTTGGACTCGAAGGAGGGATAGTCGTCAAGCCCGAGAGTAGTTGTTCAGAATTATGATGAGCAGCGCTAGCTGACAAGTCCGGTGCTTGTTCGCTGCAATGAGATCATATAGTGGGTTCATTTAGTAGGTGCCAATAGCTTCAAATCTGTCACAATAAAGAGCGTAGTAGTTGACCGCAGGGAGGACATCGTATAGCTGAGGTTTTCGATTTGAATTACTCGTGGAATCTAGCATGACTTTATC